ATGACTTTGGAATATTAATAAATATTACCTCAGAGATTACAATTAGTTATTACAAATAGAGGGAAGCGATTCCAAAGGAATATCTTCCATTCTGTCTAATCTTATTCTTTGTCTAAAACCCTTCTCCATGCATTCATCTTGTTTATATATATTTATTGCTTCCTCTCTAAGTTTTGGGAGTCCGGATAATTAATCTCTCTTTCGAGCTATAAGTGAGTAGGTACGTACATACATATAAATAGAGAGCAGGGAAATGGGTTTGAGCTCTATCATATCGACCATCACATACTGTTTGTTCCTTCGCCATCCACAAAAGAAACCAAAGGTCAAAAGTGTGAGCCACCTCAACTACTACCACACCATGCCAAGGGCTCGTCCACTTTCTTTACAGGTATCCTCTATCTTTTAATTAACCTCATCAGTTTTCATGTCTATAGTTTAGTCTCTGATTTCTTATCAAACCGTTCTTTTTATTACGACATGCTTAATCAATGGTAGTGCAAATGATTTCTGCTTTTAGGGAAAGAGGGGTATATATTTGTAAACTTTGTGGTAGTACTAGTTAATCAAATTAACTGATTTAACTAAATCACATGATCAGATATTAAAATAGCTAGCTTTTCCATAATTATCAACCGTTAGCTAGTTGTCCGGATTTTCTAAGAAAACGCTAGATAAGAAAAACAAATTGGCAGATGATCAGATTCTCGCAAAGAGAATATTAAAGTACTGTGATCAAGTCTTTTTTTTTTTTTCTCCCTTGTTTGTTAAAAAACGACTTTTGGGTTTTTATTGATTCGTGAAGGGGAATCGGACAAAAGTGAAGCGAAATGTCATAAGTTTGTCTCACTAGTGGATGCTGTGCGCTGCTATAATTATAATATCTGTGGCTGGTTATATATATATACAAATAAATTAATGTTCTTCTAGTTGTCTTATATTTTTTGTTTTGTTTTTAGATAAATTAATTACGTACTAATAATGAAGTTTGTAACATATGAATGTTGAAGACGGTAGATCTGAAAGTAAGGATGTGCTGCAGTGGATGCGAGAGGGTAGTGAAGCATGCCATTTACAAGCTGAGAGGTAATTGATAAACTATATAATTAAGTGTTAGGAAAATTGAAGTAATTAGTAACGTTGAAGAGTAATTAAAATTGTTGGTGAAGGGGTGGACTC